CAGTTTTAATAATAAACAGGCTGTTCCGTTAGTTTCTAATTCAAGGAGGGGCTTAGATGGCTGATGCCCACCAAGAACCACATGGATGATTCTAACAAGGAAAGGCATTTTCACTTCCTGTTACCGCCAAGGTCACATGGGTGGCATCAGCCACCTGACCAGGCACTTACAATAGCAGAGTGTGGCAGGCTTGTTTGGGGCCTGGCCACGTATCAGTCGCTTGAAGTTCACGGGAGGACTAGCAGGTCCTACGTTTTGCCAGGTTTCTGTAGCTAGCAAAGACTAAAGGCAGCATGAGTGATTTTATCACCTCCCTCTTCCCCACCTGATTATTTTTTTAAAAGGTGGCACATTATATGTAAATTAAAAAAATATATATATGTAATCCCAAAAACTCGCAGCTAACCTTTTCTGTCTTTTCAGCCTGCCCTGACAGAGTCTGTGCAGCCCTAGCGTGGGGGTCACTAGGCTTCACTGCAGCAGACTTATGAGAGCTAGGGGAGGGGAGAGCTGGAGGTTTCAGGGGACAGCCCTTAGACTCCATCTGTGAATGCTGTGTACCCCTCTGCAGAGAACAGAGGACTCGGAGTGCAGAGCAGAAGTACGTGAGCAAATAAAAGAGGTAGCTACGGAGACAGCTGCCGGTCTGGGGCTTAGCTGTATGTTCCCCAAATATCCAGTTAAGCCTGTCTCCGAGTAAGCAGTCGTTTTAGAGGGATGGCCTGCTTAGACTGTGCGACTTGTGGACTGTATCCCTAGGACAGTTTGGATGCTTAATACGGAGATCTGTTTTTAGCCTTTGGGGTGAAACAGGCGCGCATGTACTTGGCACCAGTTAGGAACTTTCCGCTCATTACCCATGTAGGGAAGCACTGATCTAACACTGGGTCGTCAGAGGAGGCCTTGCGTGGAGCTTAGTCATCCCATCGCGTCATCGCCCTGGGCCTGGCTTAGGTGGGGGAACGAAGGGGAACGGTGGCATGAGATCCTTTCGGGGGGAGTCTTTGGGCCAGCCTTACTCCTGGGTGTCCAACGGGACCTAGGGACCTTGCAGGGCAGCCGTTGGAATCTGTTGACCACCATGGATGATGTTTAACTTTTCGAAACAAGGAGTAGAGAGTGAAGGTCCCTTTAAGTTCACTTCTGAACTTAACGCCTGAGGTACAGTGGTCCTGCAGTCCTAGATGTTGACTCATTCCAGCACTCACCATTCTGGTTTTGCCAGCAGAAAACAAAAGGCAACGTCATTGATGCAGAGAATGCACAAATTAGAAAAGTTGATATTTCAAAACAAGCACTTAAGGAAGAAGGGCTGTTGCCAACCTGCACAGGCTGGCCTTAGCAGGCAGAGCTCAATCGTGCCAGCATCTTAAGCAGCAAAGTATTCATTCAGAGGCCATCAGAAGGGGGTAGGGAAAGCTGATAGGGAAAGCTAAATAGCTACCCTATCAGAAGTTACAGCCCCATGGAGGCTACACTGACACACAGAAGACAAATCGACACCCAGGACAAACACGGGTCATTCAGGCGGTGGGTGGGCTGTGAGTGCAGTCAGGGATTTTTCATGGAAACGGAATGGTCAAGAGCTGACACTGCCTTTCTCCCATTTGACATGAAAATCTTCATGGCAATAAACTCTCAGATCTAATCTGGGGGTCAGTGCAATTTGGATCGTGATGTTGTGAGGAGAATCTCGGTGTGTTAGTGTTTGATGAATAGTGTGGACTTCGGGTTAAAACACCTGCATTTGCCATTTCCCAGCTGGTTACTTACAGCCGCAGTGCCATCCTCCGAAAGGGGGTTAAAGCCTAGGACCTACTAAGCAGTATTTGGAGGAGCAGTGAGGTCCAGGACTTGCCTAACGCTGTGCCTGACATGTGGAAAGCATTTGGGAAAGGTTTGTGTTAATACTGACATTTCAGCCCTTGGGTTTGTTACCCACCTTGGTCAGCGGACCCTTCCTTGGTAAGCCATCTGATGCAGTCTGAAACTGGTTGGTTTTACAGCCTGTGCTTACAAAAGGGTGGGGACGAGGGTAGCTTGGGGTCATGTTCATTCAGTCTGCTCAGTCTCTCAATGGCCTGTGCTTCCCCCCTGTGGAGAGGACACAGGGTTCCAGTCTTACCTGTTTCATTTCTATTTCCCCTTATATCTCCTGTCTTCCCATCCCCTCCCTTTCTTTTCTTTCTTCTTCTTTTCTCTCACTTTGTTTCTCCTACAGCAAAGATGGAGGGGCAGGTCTGGCCACAGTTAGCAGAATTAGCTTTTCACCAAAACAGTTCAAGTCCCAAAGTCTTCATCAGCTATCTCTGCTGTCCTCAGCACTGTCTGCAGCTAACACCTCTTCCCTACTGAGGACCTTCGGGCCACCCCTTCCCAAAATGTCTGATTCTCCTGTGGCTGGAAAGTGTGCAGTGGTTTGTTGTGACAGGGGAGACCCCTCAGGATGTTAACATCCCCCAGGACTCCTTTCCTAAGGGTGCTACCTGGCGCTGAGGGAAACCTTGGCTTTGGGTTAGAAATTCAAGTTAGCTTGTTTTTTTGTTAAGTTCTGGTTGTCCCTTGCCTAACCCACTCTAGGTCTGCACCACTCCACACTCAGAGTGAATACTTTAGTGATGCTGTGAACAGATAAGGACAGTATTTCAATCCTCTGGCTGTGCTTGGGAACTGAAGAAATGAGTGTCCGCAATTACTCTTGTTTTTTTTTAAGATTTTTTTTTATTGGGGAATTGGGGGGATGGGAACAGTGCTGGGGAATTGGAGGAAGGGGAACAGACAAGTTGCTGTCGTTTTGTTCTTCATCAGTCTAGTTGTGGAGGACGTTGCTTCACTGGCCCAAGTTGGCACCATCATTGCGCTCTTTCCGGGTGAGGCAGATCAGTCGCCAGCTTCTGGACGGCCGTTCACTGCGGCTGCTGGCCGCTCACGCTGGCTGCTGGCTACACACGGTAGCCCATGGCAACCCACTGCAGCAGGGGCTGCAGCCTACGCCGTCGCTGGAGACTTACAGCTGCCCAGCTCCAGGTTGAGCTGTTGTTCAGCATCTTAGCTGTGGAGGGCAGTGTCACTGGCCCTCATATGTGGGATCCGAACCGGGGTCCTCTGGCGTCCCAAGCCAGTACTTAACCATCGCGCCACTCGGCCGGCCCCGCAATTACTCTTGATGGTAGAAACGAGTTAGCTTTTTCACTAGTTTAAGATGATTGCAGGGCAAATACTGAAATTTACCATCTCCAGAACACTCAATTTTCTTAACTTGTAGTAAGAAGTTCAATGTTGGCTGGCCGTATAATGCTGCTATTAGAACGATCATATAATCCTGCATCTGTCTGATTAGAACACGTTCCCTCTTCTGGATTCTCCAGTCTTCAAATTTAGAGTAGAATCAGGGCAGAGCCAGGAAAATGCTTAAAGGAAAAAAAAAAAAGCGTAAGACTGGTATAACAATTTTAAACACATTTTGATACATAATATGAAAACCACCTGTTAGCTGCAGGGTGTTATCTGGATACAAATAAAATAAAAGGAAACAGTGGAATTATAATAACAACACTTGAATAGAGCTTGCTAAGTGCCAGGCACTATTGTAACTATTTCACGTATATTAATTTATTCAACCCTCATGACTACCCACAGCATCACTTAGTGTTTAGGACAATGTACACCTTCAGGTGGGTTTGCTAGCCTTCAAATTCAGGGAAGGAAAGGATGCTCAGGCTGGGATGGAAGGTAAGAGCTTCATGAATATGATAGAGTCCACTGTCCCTCAAAGGATGTATTATTGCTACATTGTTCCTAAGAGGACCATAAGCTAATAACTATTGATGCCTGAAACTAAAATAACTCTCAATTTTTTCTGCAGTTTTATTTTGGCATTATAATGATGACATTGCCTAGCAAATGCCCTTTGGATAACCTGAGACCCTCCCCTCAACCCAAAGTGACACGCGTGTTACCTGGGTCTCAGTGCAGCACACACAGAAACGAGACTGTGACAGCTGTCTAGTCACATTTGACAGTTTCTTCAAAGGTGCTGAAATCAAAGTCAAAGGGGGTTAATAAATAAAGAACATTCACAAGGCCCTGATAATATTCATGCTAGAGATTGGTACACATTTTAGCCAAAATTCCTACTTTAGAAATGTTTGCTTTGGGAGTATGTTCCGCAGAATGACAGAATCTGTATTTTTGGGAACCTTAACTTGAGAATTTATATAGCACCTCTTTCCTAGTTATTCTAGTATAAGTAATAAAATAGTAAGAAGTGTGAATGCTGATGGTGAGTCAATCACCCAGATTACAAATTCAGCATCGCTCCAACTATTTCTCTCATTTATGTCATAGAATGTATCTGATATGAAAACAACTTAGCCGTCATTTAGTTACAAATGGCGTTCTTTGCACTAAATAATACTTCAAGTGCGAGTTTTCCTTTTATTCCTTCTATTGATGCAGAAGGCAAAACAAAAACCTCGGAAACCTTACATTTTGGTGTTGGTCTTATTACAAAGAGAAATGTTTTGTGTTCCATTTTGTGCTCCTTGTTCATTAGGGAGCTGACCATGCTTGTGTGGACGAAAGGGTAAGTTTCAGGGAACGGTGGTAAAATAAGCATTTGCCCCTCAGAGCATTATAGTGTGGACATTTTCATGGTCAAAAATTTCATAATAGTTGTAATAATTAACCATGTATAATAATATGTAACAGTAGATTAATGTGTAGGACAAAGAAGTATTGTAGGGTGTTTTATACAAGAGCACAGTATAGATATTATTAATACTATTACTATATTGCAAGCTTTGCACTTTGAATGCAATACAAATGAATGAGTCAGACTTGGCTTTGTACATTTTTTATATGCTTATGTAATGAGAAAATTATTTCCTTAAGGGCTAGACTTACAAATATTTGCTTAATATGTTTCATTAATTAAACATGTGAAAGTGCTTATCTAGCATAAAACTAGGGGACTCTTGGTGTCCGTTTTGTTTTTTCAGAATGAAAGTGCCCTTGTGAAAGAAAAAGAGCTGTCAATCGAACTTGCAAACATCAGGGATGAAGTTGGTAAGTAGGGCATTGAAAACAATGCCCGGAGAGAATGCCTGTTCCTGATACCTGTAAATGAATGTGTAACAAAAGCAGTTATGTCTCCAGTGATAAGCCGGGGCAAACCTGCCCAGACAAATGAAGTCTCTTACCCAGCACGGCATGGCGGTGGCTGCTGCAGCCTTGCAGGGAGCCATAATTTTCACGTTTCTGTGGTTAGGACAGCTTCCTAACAGTTCACAGTGGAACTAATCAGGCCTTGACTCTGCTCTTCGCAGATGGCAGTTCCTCCGTCCATCTGTGTTGCATGCTGTGACAAGTGCCCCTCTATTTAGGCACCGCCTGGGCAGGAGGGCTCCCAGAGAAGCAGCCCAGCTTTGTGGGACAACACGAGGCACTCTCCGTAAGATGCAGGCATCCTGAGGCTGCCTGCCACTTACACCCTGCCTCGAAATACTCTAGGATACAGAACAAGGTCAACAATGACAATTTGGGTGGGTTGAAAATGCTGGGGTTCATGTTGGAACTCCTAGTCTTCAGCTGATAGGATGGTAGCGTTCAGCCTGAACCTTAAGAGACCTCACAAATGCAGGACGATCCCGAGACCCTGGAGACGTCAAGGGGGATGGGTTTTCACTTGAGGCCAAACATCAGACCAAATATTTGCCATTCCCTCTCTTGACCCCTCTGTTTCCCCAGGAAGCGGCAGCAAAGGTGATATAAGCACGCCCCGTCCCTTGCCCTGCTGTGCCTCTCTTTACAGTGAGCATTCCTCCTCATCCAGTGCTGTCCTGGGCAGGGCCCACTCTGCCCAGGTGTGGCTTCCTCCAGCAGCGAGGGGACGGAGCCGTCCCAGCTGTCCCTGGTAGGTGGCACAGCGCCTTTTCCCCCAGGCCAGCCATGCAGGTAGACATGGAATCTGAGGGCCAGACTTTTCTGGGGAGCCCGGCCCCAAGGAGGTACGGTGGACAGGGTAGGGATGTCCAAATATATATTTTGCATCCTCCCCACACCCTTTTTTGTAACTTTAAAACAATTGTTTTTTCTTCACTGTGAATTTTGTGACTTCGAGAAAGGTCAGCAATGGCCTCCTCTCCCCTCTAAGGAGAGCGGGCCCCTGCAGGAAACCAGTTAATAACTCTTCTCCTTCCCAGCCTCGGGGGCACAAGCACCTCCACCTGGCCTGCCCCTGCTGAGGGCATGAACCTGGATGTAGGTTTTCTGAGAGGCTGCCAGGAACAGCGATGGCAGTGAGTGAGGGAAGCCCCTGGAAAGCCCCCACAGGGGCCTGTGTGTCTCCATGGAGTGGATGAGTACTTAGGTGGTTCCGAGCCTTAGGGTCCCAAGCATGGGCTCTGCAGGCAGATGACCCAGGTTCAAGTCGAGCAAGTAGGCTAACCTTTCTGTCCCTCCTTATTCCCCTTCATAAAAAGGAAAGTCAGAGAAGACGCTGGTGATAAACCACTCTGTAAAGATGACTCATGTCTATAAGGTGTGTAGCTCCTTGCATCTGAAAGCAGAGGAGGAAATCTTCCACTCTAGGGTGTATTCTTTCCCAGAAAGATGTCTGCACCCACTGCGGCTGAGCTTCAAGCCTGGGGTGTGCACCCTCACCCAACTGGGTCAGTGTGCCAAACCCAGAGCCACTTCCTTCTCTGTCCTTTCCGGAAGCTTCTGGATGCAGCAGGCACCACACAAGGATTACATTGAGTTTTTGTATTGAAATCTTATTTCATGTCTGCATTAGTGCTAAGAATAGAAACAGAAATCGTCTGCCAAGTGAAAAAGCCATGGTGTGTGGGGGAAGGTGGATGGCCTCAGTGGCACCATGGCCAGGGCCACTCAGCCCAGCCATATGAGGGTCAATCAATGTTAACTGTAAAGTCCAGAAGCTCCAGTGTCTTGACCTGCAAGGTGTTCCCTTGAAGGGAAAAGAGCTTACAAACTGGAGTTACAATTAGTCATATAGAAAGGGAGATGGCCAAGCCTACCTCCTGACTGACAGCCCTACCTTTATTTAGATCTGTTGTCAGCTGAGGCTGATGGGGGCCAATGGAGTTGGGGGGCAATGAGGGACCCTGAGGGAAGGTGGGGGAGGTGGGATTTCTAAAGGCTGTGACTTCAGACCTGGAAGAAGTGAAGAAACTGCAAAAAGCCAGAACAGTATAGGGGCACGGAAATCCGATCCCAGAACAGGGCTGGCCTGTCCCCCAGATCTCACAATTGCTGCTGAAACTTTTCATACCCGTTACAACACTGCCCTGAGTTCTACCGTTATCTGCTTGTAAGGATCCATCAGTTGTCCACACCCACACCCAGAAATTCAAAGGCTCAGCATTTGGCCAGAACCAGCTTTTCTGTGTTTTTCAGCCCTGGTGCATGTTAGGATCACCTGGACTGCTTTTTAAAATACTGATTTCCAGGAACTACCCTAGGGCAACAAAATCACAGTTGAGGGTGAGGTCTAGGCATCTTTTTAAATTCCCATGGTGCTTAGTAAGTACAATGAAATTTGAGACTCCATGAACTACATTGAAGGAAGAGGGGTTTTGATTTGGGTCAGGGACAGGGAGAGGCAGCAGGTGATTTGGGATGGGCTTGAAAGGGTGGGGTCCCATACGGAGGGCTCTGGGCAGCAGGGGCTCCTAGGGAGAGAGACCCAGGTGGGCGGGGAAAGGGTGCAGACGGGGAAGATGCAAAAGACATTCCACCTACTCTGAAATGACACACAGGAGTGGCCTGGCTCCCAAAGAAAAGGGGAGGAAAGCCCTCTTCCTTCTCTTCTTTCACTTTTACCTGTCGGGCGGGAGCTGTCAGTCTTGAGTCAGCTCCTGTCTGGGTTAGAGGGGCTTTTGGGAACCAACCACAGAAAGTAATCCCCTGGTGTGTTTGCTGACACACTGCACACTTACAGTACATTCCCATTTGTGACTTCCCTGATGAAGCTACTATAGAATCTTCTACAGTGTATAGTTTCAATGGTTCTTCTTACCAGAGATTTTGATACATGTTATCCCACACTGATTAAGAATCCCTGACTGCAATAGTTTTTGAGTAGGAATTTGCTGGCAATTGGTTTATAAGTAAACTCTGAGCACATCCCTAATGACTGATGTTTTCTGATATTGCTTCTGACATGAGATGTCAGGAGATTTTCCCACACCAACCACCAGCCCTCTGATACCAGCTGGGTGTCTAACAATTCAATTCTGACACTAAGTACCCAGGGTTAGCGCAGACCCCACAGGTTCAAGGGCAGTCCCGTGACTGCCCCCACTTCAGATGCCAGTCACAAGTCCCAGGGGCCACCTGTGCTTCTGACCAACCGGCTATCAATTCAGGGGTTCCCACAACCTCCTCCTCAGGTTTGATAATTCACTAGAATGACTCATAGACTCAGGGATACACTTTACTTATCTTTACCAGTTTATTATAAAGGACACAACTCAGGAACACCCAAGTGGAAGAGATGCATGGGGCGAGGTATTTGAGGGATGGGGGCGCAGAGCTTCCATGCCGTCTCCGGACACATCACACTGCCAGTACCTAGATGTGCTCACCAACCTGGAAGCTCTCGAGATCCTTCATTCAAGAGTTTTATAACCCAATCTCCAGCTTCCCCTCTCTCCGGAGGTGGGTAATTGGGGCTGAAGGCTCCTATCCTCTCATCACTTGATCTTTCTGGCAACCAGCCCCATCTTGAGGCCATCCTAGGGGCCCCACCGTAAGTCGCCTCATTAGCATAAACTCTGGTATGATTGATAGGAGCTCATTATGAATAAATAACAAGACACTCCTATCACTCAGGAAACTCAAAGGGCTTTAGGAGCTCTATGCCAGGAACTAGAGACAAAGACCAATGCATTATTACAGCACACCTAGCGAAGACACTGTCCACGTGTGGAATTACTCATTTAACAAGGTTCTGAGCACTGTAGATGTAGCCACTGTGGGTCTTAATAACTGTAGTCTATCCACCCCATTTTAAAGGTCAGGAAACAGGGGCTTGGTCAAAGATCTTGGCTAAAGCTGGGACATCTGTAAGAAGCACCAACAAGAAAAACTTAGTTCTCTTTAACCTCAGACCACTCATTCATTCAACAGATATTTATTGAGCACCCGGTACGTAGGAGACACAGGCTAGGCAGGGTCCCATGGATTGTGTAGACTGTATCATGGAACAAGGCACCCCTCTAAGTGGGGGGCTGAAATCCATCTCCATTGCAGCCATTCACAAAGCCCTGTGCCCTGGCCAGCCTGGGGTTGCTGCCACAGAGGAAGAAGTGCTTTTTTCTAATTTGCACAAAGGCACCAGTGGGCCAACAGCCACCTAGTGCTATGCTCCGGTTAATGGGGACCAAGATTTGACTCATGGCCTCAAGCTTACGATCAAAGTCTCCATGGAAGAATGGCCATCTGAGACAGGCCTTGTAGTGTCTAAGATGTGGGCAGATGCTCATAGGAAGGGAAAGAGCACCATTACTGAGCACGTACGGAAGCTGCCTGTCCCACTGACTGTGCCCGGGACCAACGGATGCCATGCCGTGATCATTGTCAGGAGTCACCCATTCTGTCCACTTATGGAAGGAAAAACTCTGTTTCCCCATTCCTCTTCCTGTGTATAAAAAAAGTTTACACTTGACATTTAATAGTTATATAACATTCTATCATACTGATAAAATAGAAAAAGCGACTATTCCCCTTTGAGTATTTGGGTATTTAACATTATTTTTTCTATTGAACAATGAGTATACTCTTTGCAAATCACTTTTTTCCTCTTGTATTACTTACTTGGACTATATTCTCAAAAGTATGGACCAATAATTTTTATAGGATTTTACATTTGTTTTAAACTCACCTGTATGTGATATGGCCTTGACATTTACTCTGTAAATCTAGACAAAAGATTATAGGATTTAATCTCAGTGTAGCTAGGTTTGCCTTATAAAGAGGAAATTAAAGCTCTCTCTCTCTCTCTGTCACACACACACACACACACACACACACACACACACACA